AAGGTCAGGGAATGCAGAAGAAGGATAAAAGAGAATGACATATGTTGACTATCATTACTATATTATGTACATGACAGTGTCATAATGAAGTTTTTTTGTACAATGAACATGTTAAAAAATAGGGAAGGAAGAGAATGAGAGAAGGATGGGATTGGGGAGGGAGGGAGGAAGGAAAGAGGAAAGGGTGGAAGGCAGGAAGCCAGACGGGAGAAGCAGCAGACCTGTAGTTAACCAGATGCTTGAGTTACTAGATAAGGCTTTTAAAATGGCACCAGAATGACATTTTGAAAAACACAAGAATGCAGCTTAAAGAGGAGAGAGAATATGGTTATGAAAAATTAAGTGGATATTCTGGAATTGAAAAATACAGTAACATGAGTTGAATCATTGGAAATGGATGAAGGAAGGATTGTTGAACTATTAATAGAGCAATAAAAATATTCAGATCAAAGCATGAATAAAGGTAGGGAGCATAATAAATAGCAAAAAATATATGATACATATTGCAAAGTGCCTAATATATGTATAGTTGGAATCGTTTACAAGGAAAAGAGTGTTTCTGTAGAGTCCATATTCAAATTGATAATGACAAACAATTATCAAAATGGAGGAAAGATATCAATCTGCAAAAAATCCCATGTGCAATAAACAAACAAAAAAGTACAACTTAGTTACACCAATGAAACTACTGGAGATGAACAATGAAGAGAAAAATCTTAAGCGGGGCAAAGTAGGATTTATCCCCCAAAGGCAGCAATAAGACTGGCAGCCTGCTTCTGAAAATGATGGTGCCTAAGAGACAATAGCGCCATCTTATAAAGTGCTAAAAGAGAGTGGCGACCACTATAGACTTCTGTACTCTAGGAAAATAGCCTTCAAAACGGAAGATGAGATAAAGTTGTCAAAATAGATGTGACGCAAACACAAATGTGAGTTGTTAAGGTAGAAAAGGCAATCTCAGAAAGAAGTGTGAGGGAACAAAAAGAAACAAAGCATTTATGTAGATGAGTCTCAATTAATCTTGGCCACATAATGGAAAAACCATGGAATCTTACGATTTTAAAACTCTATGAACAATAAAACGCCTGCCAGTAATAACATGAAAAGTAAGAAAAGGTGAACAAGACACCAGTCTAAGGTTCTGTCATGTTCTGTGTTCTGAAGTATGAGTTGATAACAACCTGTATTAAATGATGCATGCTATATTTAGGGTGATGTTTAACATCTTACTATCAAGCTAGGAAAAACAAACAAGAAATTTCATTCTCCTTCTCTCTTTATTTTCATTCGGTATGAGGATCAAAACTTTGCTGGGCAGTGGCAGCACACACCTTTAATCCCAGCACTCGGGAGGCAGAGGCAGGTGGATCTCTGAGTTCAAGGCCAGCCTAGGTTACAGAACAGAGTTCCAAGATAGCCAGGGCTACACAGAGAAACCCTGTCTTGAAAAACAACAAGCAAGCAAAACAACAAAAACTGATGCTTCTCCTAGTACTACACAAGCTGGTCATGGTGGCACATTCCTCTAATCCCAGCATTAGGAAGGTAGAGATGGCAGGCTCTCCTGTCTCCTCAGGTCATCCTCAGCAATACAGAGAGTTCAAGGCCAACCTGTGTTTTATGAGACTGTACTTTTTAAAAAATCAAACAAACAGAATCTCACATATGCTAGGTGATCTCAGTGTCACTGAACCACACCCCAGCCTATGGAAAAAAAAATCCTAAACAATGCAAAAAATAATGAAAGAACATAAATGTGATAGAGTGAATAGAAAAAAATAATAAGGTAGTTTGTATTAAATATAAATTGACTAGTGTACCAATTAAAAGATATAATTGTCTGACGGATGAAAAATTCATTTAGGAAAAAGTATAACTAATTGAAAGAAATGACATTTTTAAATCCAGCTATATCAAAATATAGTTAAAGCAACTATATTAGCCCTTAAAATAGACTTTAAGACAAGAAATAGTAACATATAGTATAATTACCAGTATTAACACAATAGAGGGATGAAATCACTCTCAATTTATGGGCATTTAATTTTAAAAATAGCATTAAAATATATTACATTAAAATATATAAATCAAAAATGGAAAAACTAAAAAAAAATAAACATCATACAAACATTGTATTCATGTAAACATCGTTCACATTGTATTGTAAGACCTCAGGAAATCTTTCAGTAGCCAACAGGACAGGTGTTCAAGAAGAAAAATAATTACTAATATAGGCGAGCTGAACATAGTCTGATATAACCTAGTTATAACCCAGCAATCACAAGATAAATTCTTTCAACTGAACTTTTAACCAAATTGATCATAATACAAGTGTCAAGATTAATGAAAGGATTGAAATCATTCAGTGCAAATTGTGACCACAGAGATCCTAAAAGTTATTTTTAAAACACTAGAAATCAATAAATAGGCCAAAGAGTCAGCTAACTCCTACAGGCTGCCCTCTGACCCCCACACAAGCCTCATGACATGCACGTGCATTGCATATGTATACACACACACACACACACACACACACACACACACACACACACACCCCTAAAAACTTCCTCAAAGAAAATATATGAGACACAACTGAAGCAATTTTTGGAGGAGAGCAGATAGCTTTACACATGTATGTTAGAAAAGAAAACTGCCTAATGTTGTCTACTGCTGTACCTTGTAAACACAGAAAAAGGGTAAAAAGAAAATCGTCAGCAAGAGTTGGTTCTTTGGAAAGATTAGTGAAATTGGATTTCGAAAACAAGTTGAGCAGGAAAAGAAGAAAATATAAATCATGAATATGACAAATGAAAGAAGGGTGTCACTGAAGTTTGCATGAATTAAAAATTGAATAATATAACATTATTATAAACTTTATCCCAATTGACTTGATAACTCAGGTAAAATAACCAATTGGGGTGGGGATGCATAGCTTACCAAGATTGACAAAAGAAATAAAAAATATATATAGTCATAGGTATTTTTTTAACTGAATTAGAATTAAGATTGTCTAGGTCTCATAGCTCCACTGGTGAATTTTGTCTAATATTTAAGTAAAAATCATAACAATCTTACACAGAGTTTCAGAATATAGTGGAGAATGGATACTGGTCAACCCATTTTATAAAGCCAGCAAGACCCTGGTAACAATATCAAAATCATTATAAGAAAATTATACATTAATACCTCTCACTCACATTTATTTAAAAATCCTTAACAAAATGTTAACAAGTTATGTATCATAATGTATAAAAGATAAGTACATCATGGTAAAGTGACATTTGTCCTAGGATTGCAAGGCTCGTTTAACAGCAAAATCAATCATTGTAATTCACTGTGCTAACAGTTTTATTTAAGCTGTTACTTGTTTGAGCAGAGGCAAGAAGATCATTTTACAAAGCTTAACAATCACTCATGACTTTAAAAAAAAACAAACCTAGAAATACAAGGAAACTACTTTCACCAAATATAGGGCATGTATCTTAGTGGTGAAAAATGAAAGTCTACTGTAAGTCATCAAACAGCAATGGTGTCCCTAATATTGGAACAAAGCAGGGAATTCTCTCCCCACACTCACTACATCTATGCAGAGTTGAGCTAGATGTCCTCACCAATGAGATGAGACAAGTTAGAAAGAAAGAAAGGGAGGGAGGGAGGGAGGAAGGAAAGGAAGGAAGCAAGCATGATCGCTGGTAATGAATATAGCAGCTATGAAGAGATAGATGAATGGATTGTGTTTACAGAAAATTATAAGGAATCTGAAAAAAATATAATTTGTATGCTTAAAAGTATGCTAATATATTAAAATCTGGGCAAGCTATTACTATCTGAAAAGATGAACAAGAAATTGGTAGCAGTCATTAAAGATTTGTGAATGAGGTTTATGAACTCATAACCAGAAGAGTCGAGAATGAGAGAGACTTTTCCTTTATGAACTGTTAAGTTATTGGTAATTGAACATAGTTAATGTTTTACTATTTTGAATATAGCTTATTTTTTTGAAAGACTGAATTGGTCAGTGCCTTATCAATGTCTAATGATGAACACTTCAGTTTCTGTACCCTTCACACAAACTGTGATCGAACCCATCAGACCACAGATGTCATCAACATGACGGTCATTCCAGAATTATATCCATTTGAGAGAAGTAAAGTAAATAATACATAAATGATTTGTAGCCAGAAGTCAAGCTCATATTAATATATAACAAAGCAATGTTTACTATAGATGCCTATATAATGCTTTCTCATTGTACCTTTTTAGTCGCATAGCTAGGTAAATATTCCTTTCCCTTAACTCTCTTAAATACTAAACAATATACCAAAATAGTAACAATAGGAATAATAAAATCTAACATATATTTAAGGCTTGTTATTTAAGATGCTTTACCAAATTCTTTATGTCTATTATTTCAAAGTGTAATATCCATAATTCTGGCAATAGAGAAATAAGAGGTTAGAGGCCAGAATAATTAAGATTAAATAGAAATTCTCCAAATAGCCTTAATTCTTTATTCTTTGTAGTTTAGAATACTGTAACATTTGAGTATCATGATGGCTGAATGAGTGAGTAAGTGTGTGTGTTTGTGTGTGTAATGCAAATCTTGGAGATTATAGGTGAAAATCAGCAGAATTTACAACATGATTAGATACATTCTAGGTCAGCCTTATGCCACTAAGTAGAAAGTTGAGCATATGCACAGATCAAATTTAGACTATCTTCAGATAATTTAAACAAAAGATAAAATTTTAACCCAAATTATGAAAGTAATTTGGACTATCTACCTGCCAAGGATATCAACAAAATCTTCTGTCTATGTCTTGCTTTATCCTTTGCTAATCCTTTGTAACCATGAGGAATAGTACAAATAGGTTATCAGTTCTGAATCCACCCAACAGACTCATTCACTGTTTGTCTATCGCTGTTGATTGTAAACATGCATTAATCGATACTCATAACTTCAGCACTCTGAAATGTTAGACAACCCCAGTAATCATTACCCCGAGAATTAACCGGCACAGCAATGATCAGGCCTCCTTAAGCAGCGAATGATTCCTTCTGCTCTTAGCAACATAGTCTGCGGTAGCACCAAGAATTCCTTCTTCCACAAATACCTGGACCAGGAGGCATTCTACTGCATCCCAAAATAGTAGCTGTGCTTTTGGCTTCTGAGCTGAAGACAGCTGAGGGGGGAGGAGCAGGCACCAAGTTGCTGCTTTCCTCTGCCTCAGACCTACAAGGGCCTGTCTCAGTGCTCATCTTGGTGAACCCTGATGGCTCTCTGGATCAGGAGCCCACACCTGGGACCAGTGGAGCAAAGATGGCTTCTGACAGCTTCCTGTGCTACAAAATGCCATGCAGTGGCTGAGTAGCCTCCTCTTCATGGATTCTCTCTTCTCCCCTCCCTTCCACTTCCATGCCCTTGTTTAGTCCCAGCTTCCATTAGAAATGCTATTTGGGCAGCAAATTTCACAGATTGGATCCATCTCAATGCTGTCATGCAAAGAAAACACATCTGTCTGACTCTTCATTTAAAATAAGGGAAAAATTGAAATAGCAAAATGCTGTAGTCGCTCTGAGCTGTCTCCTAATGAACCTGTTTGTCCCATGAGCTGTAGTGAGGAGCCTCTCCTCGGGAAGAATTCTTTGTGCATATTAATATTATGCATGTTTTCCATGTGACTCCTTCTCACTTGCCCTCACCCCATCCTTTGAATTCATTTAAATAAAAATAATTTATGTGGACATTCCTTCAGTCAGGATTTTCTCTTTCTCTTTCTTAAAGACATCCATAACATGCAGTTGATGCTTTGCGTCCAAACCAAGTCGTTAGCCTTTGCATGTCATTAGAGCTTTATAAAGAACCACAGCGACACCTGCGTGTACCGCAGCGCCAAGAGATAGAAAAAATACCGAAAACAAAACTCCACGCTGGCTTGGAGGCTGTCGGGCTCTCTCCCCAGCAGCCCCCGACACCACCATGGAAAGGAGTAATTGTACAGTGCAATCACATCATGCCTCATCTGAATATTCATAGCAGAGACAAAGCTTTGGAGGATAAGGGAGGAGCGGGGATAATTTAAATATAAACCAGCATCTCATTTCCAAATCAAGTTGTGCAGTTACACTGTGCACCAGGATTCAATATTAAACCAACATTGTTCCACAGTTTGAAAATTGGAAGTGAAGAAGACAGAAGAGGAAAGGTCTCGGGAAAGAAAGGGTGGCGGTACATTCTCACTCTCGACCGAGGGAAAACAAGGAAGGACGGTAACAGAATAAAAATCGTTAAAGTGGTATTTGAAGAGTCACCATCAGTGGCCAACCAGCTGCTGTTTTACCAAGAATGAAACAGCCTATTGAGGGAGCTTTAAAAGCCCTCAATTAATATGTTGTGCATGTATACGATCTACAAAGAACTCACTGTATTCTCCACCCCCGGTACCCCAACACTCACATATCCCCTAACCACCACCTTCCTTTTCTGTCAGGTGCAGGGGAAGGATCAGAGCTATAAAATAATTAATTAACCACTTCAAAAGTGACAATACCCATCTTCACAATTAAAGGATAAAAACAAACACATACAAAAGGTGACTTCATTAATGAGGGGATAAATTACCGATGGATTCTTCATTCTCTTTAGTTCATTACCCCCCAAATGGAACAAATATAATCCACATGTTAACATTTCTTGTCTTCTTTCTTTGTTTTTAGCATGATGCTCTTTATTATTTTTTAAGTGTTGGTATTTGTAGAAGCCTCAGTCTCTGCATTCCCCAAAGAGCTACCAGTTTCAGCCCACTGGAGTTTATATTCCTTTAATTGTCTAGTGCAGGGACATTGCTGCTGTTTTTAAAAATATACCGCTCTGCAGGAATTAGAAGAAGCCAAGGTTGTATCCAACTTCAAAGGTTTCCAAGTCATAATGATTTTAGCAAAAGCAGAAGACACATCATGGAACAAGCCCCTGTTTGAAGATAAGCATCATAGGGATCTTTTTTTCCTTCCCTGTCTCCCCAACTTTGTACTTCTCCTGGCTCTGAGTGCCCCCTTGCTAACATGGCTTAATGATATGCAAATGAAATATGCATAAAACCATTCTACTGTATGATGATTAAACACTGGAGACATTAACCGCGGAGGCTTCACTCTGTAATAATCCTTCCCGACCATCCACTTTGATTGCGGAGTTATGGAAACCCGTAGCAGTTGGCAGAGAGAGTGAAGAGAGAAGGAAGGAAGGATGCGGGGGCATATCACCCATCTCGGTGCTTCTCCCACTCCAGAAGAGCCCCCCCCCCCCACCTTTGTACTGCCCTCCTATCGCTGCCTTTTGTAATCCATCCGTGCAGTCGCACCAGAGCGATTAACGGGGGAAAAAAAAACAAAACCTTTTCTCTTAATGTTTCAAAGCTCATTAGCCAAACGATTATTCCTCATTAACAGCGAAAGCTCATTCATTAAAAGGAAGAATATGCCCAAAAGATGCCAGCGCGGTTAATCCTGAGTCCCGTAACTGGTCTGTAAATCCCACACTACTTGTATATTCCATGCGAAAGGGGCACGCGCCAATCCACAGTTTTAAAAAAAAAAGGAACAAAAATGAAAACAGTTTGTGTGTTTTGTAAAATCCACAAGAGCAGCAATTAATATTCCCATTGAATGACTTTATTATTTTTTGTCTCTCTTTTGTTTCCAGCGCCTGCCCCTGGCTCAGCGCCCGGTGCCAACAGAACACCTTCAGGATTCACAGCAACGCAGAAACCGTGAGTACCAGCCGTTCCCTCCAACCATTTTGCAGGTTGTCTTTATTTTAAGCACCTAAAACAGAGACAAGCCTCTTCCCCCTTCTCCTCAGCATCATGCCACCAGGGTTTTCTGAGTAGCCCCTTCCAAATCCCTCTGCCTTCAAGTTTGTGCATGTCTGTGTGGCATCCCTCCTCCTCCTCCTCCACTCCCATAGTGGATCTTGTAAAAGGGCTTCAGATCGGCCCCATTCATCTCCCTGGTGATAGCAGTGAATGTAGATAAATCTCTGGCTGCCTGCTTACTGCTCCAGTATGATTTTTATTTTGTCTTCTTTATATACCTGGATTAGAGAGAGTGGGATGTACACATATACACATATACATGCAGATACACGTATCATCTCCTCTTTCCTCTGCCATCCTCTCCTAGTTCTCAGACATGCATACATCCCACATGTGTGTATATGCAAAACATATACACCTATATACGTACCCATACCTATAGCATGAAAACAGACACATCTCTAAGCATTCAGTTTGTCAGAAAGTATGTGTATTTGTATACACATATAGCCTTACACACATTTATCTATATGCAATCGATGGCTGCCTGTTTTCACATCTACCCATGTATAGCTCCTTTTAAGTATTCCCTCTTTTTTCTCAGCAGAGGCTGTGTGCAATTTCTATCCAGGATTGTAAAAGAAGTATTCTTTCCTTATGATTTCTATTTGTAGACCTTTATGCTCCCTTCTCTGCCTTCTTCGGAGCTGTAAAATTGGCATCTTTCCCTGAGGTTTTCCGAATGGCAAGTGGCACGGCTGTGGCATGCATTCATGCCGCTTCCTATGGCATTTCTCTTCCGATGTCTGCTTTTCCTCTTTGTTTGCTGTTGACTAGGCTGAATGGTGGTTTTTGTTTTGTTTTTTTAGTTAATTATAAACGAAGTTGAATAGCAAATAAGCCAGTAGCTTGCCCCCTCAAAAAATTTTAATGAAAAAAAAAAAAATAGCCCATACAAGTGCCTTCTGCTGCAACAGATGCCCACATCACCCTTGGCATGGGCAAACGGACAAACAATTTTGGTGGTTGATAATTTTTTCTGATTGTTGCTGTATCTGTTGTTTGTTTTCCTTGTTTCTTTTTGATTTTTCAAGATGTCCAGGATCCCGGCCTCTGCTTGGAACGGAACAGTATCATGGCGGAGACAACGGCCTTTGTCTTGCTGGGTGTGAAAACATCCGCTGTGCTGGCTCGACTGCGGCAGAATCAAGTTTAAATGAAAAAAGTGATTAAAGTCAGCTTTGTGCTTCTTTGGTGTGGAAGACCCCCAAACCCCAAGTAGCCGACTCCCAGGGTCCAAGGAAGGGCTCAGAGTTGGAGCAGCGTGGGCTGTAATCCTGGCACTTGCGCCTCGCGTTGCCGCTTGCTGTTCGCTCCTGGGGGTCTGGATAATCTCCCTTGGTTTTACCGCACTGTCTGGCCCGCATACAGGGCCCGGTAACATATACCCGCTGCTGCTATCACACGAAACTGTGGCGTTGCCCCTGAATGGATGGCACTGTGCCAACTCTTCTGCCATCCGCCCTTGCAGCTTTTCTCTCTCCTCCCGCCCTCCCCTCCTTCTCCTCCTCCCGTCGACTTGACGTTAATTAACACACGGGTTAATTGATTTTAAAAGCCGAAGAATTACAGTTAACTTTTCCCACAGGGTACAGACGCCAGCCGCTTGGCACACTCTGCCTTCCGCACTGGTGCAGGGGGGCAGGGAAAGCCCGCAGCCAAACTAGCAACTGCTGCGGGAGCGTTGCCTGCTTATTGGAGTAGAGCGGATAGAAGCCGACGTGGTACTGCCTCATCCCGTACAGTGTATGGAGCCATTATATGTTCTGTCAAAGAGTCAGACACAGCCCTGGCTTTCCTCTGCCTTCCTTTTCCAAACTAGAAAGCCCCTTCAGAAGTTCTTCCAGAGAAGGGGTAAGCCCCTCCCCAAGACCATGTATCTCCTCCATAAAATGCTTCTTTTCTAGAAATAGCAAAATAATGGCGCCTTTAAGACTTTTTTGAATTTTTTTTTTTTTAGTTTCACAAAAATTTCCCTAAATAGCACAAGTATTAAGTTGTATGAAGTTTTTTTTTTTTCAGTGTCTGTTTTATTTTGTTTCCATTCCTCTTGGCCAGATTAGGTTATTTTGGGTAAAGGATTTCAGTGAGAAAGTACATAGTATAATTAAGAACAAAATTCCTACAAGGCTCTTTGTTATCTTGTATGTGTGTGTATCTTTGCTTGCCATCCCCTTTCCCAGAGCCTCTGTGGAAAATAAAAGCAGTTGGTATTGCAGTTGAGAAGGAGTCAGGCAAGGCTGGGAACTTAATGCTTTTACCTTTTCATGCTTTCATTTTATTTCATTTTGTTTTTTAAAAGCACACAGCAAGTGAAGCGACAAGAGGAATCCATTATGCAAATCATGTCACTTTGCATAATGTCTCATGACTGGAATATGCAAATGAGCTGTATAATTTATGAGTGCCAGTGTCTGTCTAAAAGTGTTTCACATAATTTACAAAGTAAGCCTGAGACAGGGTGAAAGCAGCTCTTCCAAGTCCATTGCCAGGAAAACTGCATTTTCCTGTAAGTGCCTCTCATGCTGTCCTCAAGAGCTGTGCAAGAGATTAAGGCTCCAAGTGTTCAAGGAACACAGAAATCCTCCCTGCCTAAAAGTTTGCAAGGAACTTCAACTACAATGGCACAGTTTTTAGATTCTGTCTCAGAAAGAAACTATTAAAGCCAAATGTGCCATTTGTATCTAGGTTTTCTTTTGGGAGTCCTGGAATGTCTGAGAGGAGGGCCTACTGTATGTGCCTGCATGTGTGAAAGCAGGAGAATGGGAGTTCACATTCCAGTTGGTTCTTGTGTGCTTTGCTCTGTACACCATTTTATGAATCATAGGCTCAGGAGTCAATCGTCTTGTGAGGATAGAAGGCAACTTTCTGCCTTCAAAGGAGAAATACTGCCTGTCCAAAGCTAGGTTTGACTAGTCACTTTAGGTGACCACTCTATATCACTCTTCTTAAAAATTATTCTTTTGAGATGACTCAGCTCTTTGAGAAGTCATAACATCTTTAATAATCCGATATAGTCTGGCCTTATATTTTCATTATCATTACAAAGTCTACAAAAAAGATATCCCAAGCTAGCTATCGTGACGGTGCATACCAGAGGACCTGATCCTTGGCAGGCTTGCCACAAAGCTTCCTGATGAAAATGAGTCCAAGTCAGCTCTGAAAGACGAAGGGAGATTAAACAAAAATGAGAAAGTGTTTTTCACGCAGAAGCTTTGGCCAGCAAATACCTTTGTTCATTTGCTAGTGCCTCATCTCTTAGGGCATTAGTCTGTGTACTTGTATACCATTTATCTCATAATGAAAACTACTCTGTAACTACTATTAGAACATTTTCTGTATAAGATCTCAACTCATTCCAAATTTATACACTGAACCATCAAAATTCTGGATGCGACCTTGTGTGATATCCTCCTTTTAATATCATTTGAGAAAATAATGATAGAAAAAATGACACACCCAGAAGAACAGAATGCAAACTCTTTACTAGTATAATGGAACATTAAGATGAACTGCCCTGTGATCTACAAAAAAAAAATTAGAAATATTCAAGTCAGGAAAAATAAACTCTCTAGTCCCTCCCCTCCAAAAAAAATTGGAACACAAAGCAGTGAGAATGCTCTCTGGAAAATTTTGCATGTAGAATCAAATATTTCTAATGACATGCATTTAAGAGGCAGTGGTAAATTAGAAAATATGTTAATGGAATGCAAATGAAAACACATTAGAAAATTTCTAAGATGCGGTTAAGATGTGCTTGGAAGGAAAAAGCTTTTGTGATTTACTCTAGAAGCCAGAAAACTTTTGGGTCATTAAGTCTCCACTTGAGAGGAAAAGAACCTGAACCAAATGTAAAAAAGATATGTCAAACTTCATCAAAACTGATAACACTTGCTACTTCAATGGAATAAAATAATGAAAAAAAAATCTACAGACTGGGGAAAATATTTGCTACCAATGATAAAGTTTTTAAAAACCAAACTTAAAATAACAAAAGCAAAGAAGAAATGTAGACTTTAAAGTGTGTAGAAGCAACTGAACTGTTAGTAAAAGATGTATACTGTAAGAAATGTTCAAGAATGCTTCCCAAACAAATGGCAAATTATACCAAGTGAATAAAAAGCACTGGAAATGGTAATTGTCGTTGCCATGTTTTAAAACTCTTATTACCTAAATGTAATTAAAGATAATTTACTCTAAAGCAAAATAATAATTTTTATAACAAATGTAACTTGTGACAACAAAAGCTGTTGAAAAGAAAAATGGAAGCATTCTGCCCTGAGCTTCTTCTATATTTGAGTAGTTCAATGTCCATTAGAGTGGACTCTAATGAGTTATAGTTGCATATCTTAAAAATAGAAAGCTAAAATTAAGCCATGATTAATAGGCTAAAAGAGAAAAAGTTGTCACCAAATATATCCATCTAATCAATGACAAGATAATAGACTTAATCTTCATTAATTACATTAAATGTAAATGGCCTAAATATTTTAAATGACAAGATATGCCAGATTGCATAGAAAACCAGTATTATACAAATAAATGCACCTTTTTTTACATTCTGCTTCCTCTATTTCAGAATCTTCAGGGTTTACTCCCAAACTTACTTTGCCAGTTCCTACTGAATACTTTAGGCAAGTGCTACCAGATACTCTAGGCATCAATCTCTCTTCTCTATAAACAGGTCCAATATTTCTCCTTGGGTCTATTCAAGATTTAACTGTGGTTGTTGCTCTGGTGGCCAACAGGTGAAATGAATTCAGGTTCTGAAAACAGAAAACATTCTGTAAGGCAGCAGCCTCCCTTGAAGCCTTTGCATTGTCAGAGGCATGACGTTGTCCCTTTCTCCCAAAAAGGAGGAATAGTCCCTTTCAGAGGCCCAAAGGATGCCAAGTAATCTTATTCAAGGCTTAGGGTAGCAAAGATGACTATAATGAAAGGTCAGTCTTCTCTTAAATTCTGATGCTCTTCCAAGCCACATTCAAGTCTTTAACTGTACATTTAACTGTGTCAAATGACATTCTTTTCTGTAGGTTGCTTAATCAACCAAACTCATCATTCTCCTTCTTTATTAAATCATTGTTACTCAGCAGCAATGCACAAGTTCAGTGGCCCTAGTACTCTCTTTATTGCTCTGATAAGACAGAGGTATTACACACCAGATTCCTTCTCTCTCTCTCCATCATAGCCACATTCACCTGGCTGTGACAGTCAGTCAAGCCCTCAGCACTTTTTCCAGACTATGCCCCCAGTGATCACTCGCAGTGAAAACTTCCCCGGGTAGACGTCAGTAAAGACAGAGACCAAAACAGTTTTTTAACAACTGATGTAAGACATTATTCTTACCCTGGGAGATTTCTGTAAGGAAAGACATGAAATAAGATGAACAAAAAGTTTTGCAAATATGTAGATAATGGTAGAAATCTAGCCTCACCTTGAGTTTTAGAGCATTCTGGAGCATGTGTTGTTTACCAAAAAACAGCTGAGCTGTTGTACCCCAACATTACTCAGCTACTGACTCTGGGCTTCCACCTGTGATGCTGTACATCCCAGACATTCTAAATAAAGTGCTGTACCAAGGCCGGTGTGGTTTTAATCAGCCAACTGTAGTTCTCTGAGAGGCAAGAGTAAGCTAGTACACTTTAGCAGTTTGTCTTGCTGAAGAAGATCTAGGCAGAGCCATGGCAGTTACAATAACCAAGTTACTAATAAATGTGAAAGCATGTTTTTATTTATTTATTTTAAAATTAAAGTACACCAAGATATGTTCATTGTGCATTTAGAAAGAAAATATGCACTCTGCAATTAAGCGTAGGATTCTAAAAGGTCTGGTTGATAGTTACTCCACATCTACAAGTTTTCTGATTCAGTGTTCAAGTCTTTAGTTAGGAGTAGAAGCCTTTTCGTCTGTCTTTGATTTCTGTTTCATGCATTTTAAGGTTCTGTTATTAGGTGTATGTACTTAAAACTGTAGTGTATTATTACAGAAATGAACCCTTCATCATTGTGAAATACTTTTCATCATCCCTGGTAATCCTTGTTTTGAAATTTACTTTGTATGATATTAATAGACTAATAAATAATCATTTTCCTATAATATCTTTCCCCTCTAAAGTCTAATACATTAATGGCAAACTTATTGGAAGAAGTAGCAAGTAGGCAAGATAAAAAATGAAGGTATGGATTTGGGGCAAGTGCAAGAAAAGACATCATTGGAACATGATGCTTGGCTTTCTGTCATAAAGATATTTTTGCATGTGGATGGTCATAACATGGGTGTCTGTCTGCTTTAATAAGCCATGTGCTTTTATAAATGTTTTATAATTGATAATGGAAAAAGTCTTAAGTAAAAAGTTCATCATAATATGCATTCAAAGACTATTTACAAAAAGTTAACCACATGCGTTGTTAAAAAGGGAATCTCAGATAACCAAAAGGTAATAATTACTCCAATTATACTTTTTCAGCAGCATATAATCATATTGGAAATCAACCATAAAAAGTATTTTTTTCACATCCCAATGAATAGAATATATAATATAATTGACTAAAAACTGTAGAATTAAATGTCTATGTGTCAATCTTCATTGATATAAAAAAATTAAATAAGTAGATTCAAGCAAAAAGACAGCTCTTCTTCACAGTAAAATTCCAAAGAGCAAATGTTGAAAGATAATAATGAAATTAGAAAATCATTTGGTAAACATCAGAAAAATAACTGCAGTCAGTAATCATAAACAAATGCTAAAATTAGTAAGTCATTTGTTTCTTTAATGTCACCTCAAGGTACCCCACTTTGGAAATGGGAAATATGGGGGTTGTCTACTTGGGAATGTGGGGACTAAATACAGAAGAAGGAAGGAAGAGGATTAAATAACAGTCATTATGTCTGAAAAAGTCATAAGGAATCATACTATTAACCACCTACTTAAAATGGCTATAATACACATAAGCCAGCAAATAATTATACATGTATATAATTTAAATGAAATTTTACCATCGAAGCTAACAATGTCCCCCAAGAGCCCTAGATCATCTAACAAAAATCCCAACAGCAGGCATAAGAAGCCCTTTTTAGTTGTTGGCCAGGGTTGTCCAGGAGGCTCCCAAAATAGAAGCTATTGATGGCTTTTGGTTGGCTCCCAGAGATGTAAAGTAAGTCATTATTGCTGAAGACACCATGTATGCACTTCAGACAAATTGCCTGGGTCTCTTGAGCTAAATCCAACATAAAAGCCTCCACCCTGAGGACTAGTTTTCATGGAACCAGGAGGTACTATGCAAGCTTCCAAAGGAGGAAAACACAGTAGTCCCATGCAGCTACCACATCTGTGACCAACAGTGTTAAGCGTGACACAATAACCCAAAGGGTGCAGCAGTGGCACACGTACCTTGGCAGTAACCATCCACTGTCTAATTGTACTGAAGACCTTGTACAGCTCAGCCCCAACGGATACATCTGCAGCACAGTTTCTGCACCTGACACTTGGGGATCACAGCAGGAGAGCGGGTGGAAAGATTGTAAGAGCCAGAGGAATGGAGAGTTTGCTGTGAGATGGTTTCTCCCAGAAACATCAGAAGGTACAGTCATGAAGTCTCATCAGCATGGATGCCTAAACATTACATGTACAAGGATAACACCAATAGAAATGCTGACATGGACAGGGGAAACTCATGAGGTCTCAACCTGAGACAAATAGTCTTTCTAGGGAAAAGCATACCAGTTGGTCATTCGATACCAAATGATCAGCCCTGAAAACATATACATGTAAGTAACACTATATGGACTGAGCAGGTTTTATTTATGTATTTAGGACTGAGCAGGCTGTATTTATATATTTAGAATACACACACACACACACACACAGAGATATGTAATAACAAGGAAAAAGGGACCATGAATTTGAAAGCAAGCAGGGGGTATATGGGAGGGTTTTGAGGGAGGAAAGGGAAGGGGCTGATATCATGAAATTATAATCTCAAAATAAAGTATTTTTAAAAATGTCTCCCTGTAAGGTATAGGTTAATTACAAGGAAAAAAACTAGTGGTTTTAATATGGAAATCTTGGTTAACTCTTTAACTGTGTTCAGAGGTAATATCATCTGGTATTAGGACACTAGAGACCTCCAAATAGTTCACATTCTCACCTGTCACCTTGAGCTGTCACTTTGGCAAATATGTATAACATCATTGCCATCATGAAAAAAATTCATACTATTCTAAACTTGGAGACACTGTATGAAGTAATAACTTTCCAGTGTTCTTCAGAACTGTGAAGGTCATGGCAAGCAGAAAGACTGAGACCTATGGATTGGTGGAGATTAAGGCGACATTGTAACTAAAGCGGTCCCTTCCTCCTATAGACACAGCTCAGTAAAGGGCTTGTCCCCGCACTGAAACTCTGCTTGTTTAATAGGAGATGTTCCATAAAGATGCTGAAGTGCATCTTCTATAGTGTCGAAGGGCACTGGTGTAATGCCCTTCGACACTATAGCAAGGACTTCTCTGCCGCCTCTTCATAAACCTTAGTCTGCTGGCATGCTTTTTTCCACTTATTTGGAGGTCAGGTCGGCCAGCTCCTCAAGGAAGAAATCCTGCTGGAGAAACACCGAAGTAGAACAAAGGTGTAAGAAATCTGTGGTGACCATCTACCCCAAACCACCTAGCTTTTGTTTCTGAGTGTGAACATACATAGATCACCATGTAGAAGAGAAATACTACAGTATGAACAAGAAGAGATGAGAAAACTGAGTCCCTGACTCCAGAAATAAAGATGATGCAAAAAGGAAAAGACAAAAGCTTAAAGAGACAGAGAAAGGTGGAAGCAGGAGGGTCATAGTAATGTCAAGTGCTGCTTGGACGGCCTAGCAGACCCAGTGAGACCCTGACCCGAGGAAACGGCAACACAAACGGTGGAAAGGAGAAAACAGCAGGGGTTCTTAAAGGCTAAGGTGAGTTCAGGACGGGGCTTAGTCAATAAAGCGCCTAACTGCCAGTGTGAGAACCCTGGGACTCAGGTTAAAAGTCTAGGCACGAGAATTAGGGTGTTTGGCCATCCCATCACCAGAGTAGGTCAGTTCGGGCTGTCTCTCGACCACTGCCAGCAGTCTGTTGTGTGGGTATCTTTGTGGATTTCTGTGGGCCTCTCTAGCACTTTGCTTCTTCCTATTCTCATGTGGTCTTCATTTACCATGGTCTCCTATCCCTTGTTCTCCCTCTCTGTTGTTGCTCCAGCTGGGATCTCCCGCTCCCCAAGCTTTCTTTCCCTCGACCCTCGCCCTTCATTACCCCCTCTCATTGTCGTGCTGGAAACCTCATCCAACTACTGAGGGATCTGGATGCAGAGATCCACGGCTAGGCCCTGGGTGGACTCTGGGAGTCCAATTAGCGAGAATGAGGAGGGTTTATATGAGTGAGAATTGTTGAGACCAAGGTTGGATAAAGCACAGGGACAAATAGCCAAACGAATGGAAACACACGAACTATGAACCAATGGCTGAGGGGTCACCAACTGGATCAGGCCCTCTGAATGGGTGAGACAGTTGATTGGCTTGATCTGTTTGGGAGGCATCCAGGCAGTGGGACGGGTCCTGTGCTCATTGCATGAGTTGGCTGTTTGAAACCTGGGGCCTATGCAGGATCACTTGGCTCGACCTGGGAGGAGGGGACTGGACCTACCTGGACTGAGTCTACCAGGTTGATCTCAGTCTGCGGGGGAGGCTTTGCCCTGGAGGAGGTGGGAATGGGGGGTGGGCTGGGGGGAAGGTGAGGGGGGCGGGAAGGGGGAGAACAAGGGAATCCGTGGCTGATATGTAGAACTGAATTGTATTGCAAAATAAAAATAAAAATAAAAAAATCTAGGCATGGTGGTAGACGCCTGTATTCCAAACAGTGCCAAGAAAGGAGGCAGGCACCAGATGGCTAGCTCATCTGACCTGTGTGTTGAAGTTCTGTGTCAGTGGGAGGGCCTGTCTCCAACAAAGGTGGAGGACATCTGAACGGTGACACCGAAAGTTGTCTTCTGACCTTCAGAAGTATACTGTGTATGCGCGCACATGCGCGCGCACATACACACACACACACACCACAAAAAGGTGTAAACAAATGATAGTTAAAACACAAAGACGTGGCATGGCATCAGCTGAATAACATGAAAGGAAATTCCATATGGGATCAAAAAGCATTAAAAATTTGAAATACAGAGGAGCTGGGATGTAGTCATGAATTGCATTGCTAGTGTCCTTTTAAATCATTTCTTCGGGTTTTCTGTCACTTGAGTTTGAAAAAGGCATTTTGTTCTGTTTTTCCGCTTCCTTCAGAAGTCATGAGCCTGTAAATGTTAATGATACCCAAAGTATTTAAACTCAAATATAAAGTGGCTTTTGTGTAGCCCAAGACTTCTTTGTGTTCTGCTATTGAATTTTCCAAAGCTGAATGTTACTTATTTAGAAAAGAACAAATTATCTTAGGAGAATGAGACCTAAAGAGAACATGCGTCATTCCTCTCCACCCAGCTGCCGATCTCCAGGGGTAGTCATTGCAACAACTTGCAAGTTCTACACAAGCACAGCCATGCCTGCAAATGCTCAATGTGGCTGGGATCAGATACTTTGCCACACTCTGCCTTTTTTACTCAATAGTAAAACTACTGGAATCTTTTTGTGACTGTATCTGCATATTTGCCTCCCTTTAAACAATTATGTAGAATTCCATAGTGTGAACACTTCATTGTGTAAGCAGCCATGAACCTGTAGGTTGTGTATGTTGCGACCGAGACTTCCTTCAGTTAATTACACCCTCTTTCCTGTTAACCCCCTCTGTTTTCATTTGATTGGCTTTTTTCAGTGCACTTTTTGGAGTGCTCAGGACATAATTTCTTCTGTGCATTACCCTTCTCTTAATTCTGCTTCTCAATGCTTGATCTTTAAATCTTAGGTACAACTAGAAATCTTTCATTTCCAGCAAATGGCCGCTCTTTTCAGCTCCTGCTGTCCAACAGTGTTTAGGAATGATAGGGAAACCTGGCATCCGAAGCCTTGATGTTGGTGTTCTACAGCTGAGCAAGGAGCATCAAGATTAACAGAGTAGGACTTCTC